GTATTTGGCAGAAATAATTGATTCAAAGAACAGAAACTGTAATAACTGGAGGTACTACTTAAAGTCTACTTCTCGACCTTAGGCAGTAACAGACACTACAAATTGCCATGATTTTGTGCTATGATTATAATACCTGCATTTCTAGTTTTTAAGCATGTAGCCAGTAATAATTTGAAAATTCTTTTATGCAAACGTGTTTTGTTGGTATTATTTTACTTTATTTTTGTTTGTTTATTTATTTATTTTAATGCCTACAGCACCTGGTCTTCCTAGGTGATCTCCCATCCAAGTACTAACCAGGCCTGACCTTGCTTAGCTTCCGAGATCAGACAAGATCAGGCACGTGTTGGTGTTATTTTAGTGAATTAAAACTATGTAATTGTAAAGCTCTTTTTTCTTCATTTTAATTTTAAATATCAGTCATTTAAAAATAAGTCAAGAAATTAAAATTTATATCAGAGTTTCTTTTCCCTAAAAAAATTTGTTTAAGGGTATGAGTCACCAAATACCCACTTCTGCCTCACAGGAGGGGAATAAATAAAACGGTAAACATAATACTACTCCTACTATAGTAGACATAAATATTACTCCATAAATGTGGGTTTATGCTCTATTGTATTTTAATTGAAATTAAACAGTGCTCTAAGACTCCATTTTGCCTGACTGGTAGGAAATTCAGTTTCAGTTCTTGTTGGGCTTTCTTCAGCTCCCAGAGTCAAATAAGATTCCAAAATGTTTATATAAACCAGAGAGGGGCTTCTGTTTTCTAGCACTGTTTTTGCACTGCCTTCATCATCTAGTCCACAAAATTACGAGAAGGGAGCAGATCCACTGCACCTGTGCACGGTGAGGCACCTGTGGTCTGTGCCCAGGTGGAATCCCATTGCCCAAGTCAACATGTCCGTCGGCCCTAGAGGCTCTGCCACTGGCCCCTCCTGCTTGTGGGCTCCTCAGACCTTTGGTCTCTTCCTCGTTTGGAGGAATGTTCTCTCTCTGTCTCCTTCCTTACAGAATCCTCTTCCCTCCGCCCCGCCAAGGATGTCTGGCTTTGGGGAAACAGTAGCCAAGAGGCCAGGTTGTCTACCAGCACCTTGAACTCCACAGCTTCTGTGGGGGAGTTTGTACCAAGAGGCTGGGCACCTACTTGGAGTGAGAGCAGTGAAAAGACAGATCCTGGAACACAAACGAATATTACCATAAATGGTCCTATGTTTCTATTACTATTAATAAATGTCAAATGTTACTGGGCATTGCTCTCTGCTAATGCAGATGGTCAGATTTAATTCTCAAAACTTAAACCGTGTTTTAAAGACAGACAACTGAGGCTTAGAGAGTTTGAATAACTTTCCCAGTAATAAGTAGCAGAGCTGGGATTAGAACCCAAATCTGTTGGGCTCCAGAATTTAACCCCTATGTTATATTTTCTCTCCTGTAGGATACTGGTAATATTGTTTTAATTTAAAAATTTTTTTCAATTACAGTTGACATCCAATATATTTGTTTCAGGTGTACAACACAGTAATTAGAAATTTATGTAACTTATGAAGTGATCACCCCAATAAGTCTAGGGGTACTGGTAATATTTTTTTCAAGCACAGTGATCTGCCAGGATAGGTTAGCTGCAGTGTGAGCTCCCTGATAGCTCAGTGAATTCATCCATAGAACACCATTGCTCAGAGTTCTCCATCTGGCTGTCAGAGTGCATTTGCCAAGACTCAAGAACAACAGTGCTGCTTTGGGCGTAATTAATGTTTAGACAATAACTGGTCAGCATGTTCAGCTGCTTCTTGAGGTCACTCCTGGGATATGAAAATAGGACCCTGTATTGGCATAAACAGGATGTTTGTTTTCTCTGTGCTCTGTTAGGAGGCCATTATCTTGATCATCAAGATGTTATACCAAATTGCTCAGGTGCCGGTTCAAAAGGCGGAGGTGGGGTGGTGGTGGTGGAATATGGCTCAGCTTAGCTTT